TCCATAGAACAGTGAATGCTGTGTGCCTGCAGGGATGATTTTTTCAGGACACGAAGCATTTGCTTCTTTTATAGTCTTTAAGCAGGGTCTATTGGCTATCAAGGGGTAATGGACAGATTAAAGTCAAGCATTAAGCAACTTAGAATCATGAAATAGCAGAAAGTTGGCTCTCTCTGCTTGCAACTGCACCGTTTCTGCCTTTTCATGCAGAAATTAGTCCCCAGTGCTCAGTTACCAAAACTGATAACTCTGAAGCCACTCTAGCCTCCTGAAGGTGCCTCCAGAATGCAGGGAATCTATCTGCTGGTAGTACACAACAGTCTCCAACATGGAGAAAATGGTCAAAAATAGGATGTGGAAATCATAGAATCATGGAAGATTGGAAGGCACCTTAAAGGCTGGAAGGCATCTGGTTCCAGCCCCCCTGCCATGGGCAGGAACATCTTCCATCTTCCAGGTTGCTCAAAGCTCCATCCAACCTGGCCCTAAGCATTGCCAGGGATGGGGGATCCATGGCTCCTCTGGGCAACCTATCCCAGTGCTTCACCACCCTCACAGTAAAGAATTTTTTTACGAATATCTAATCTAAACCAACTCTCTTTTAAGTTTAAAGTCATTCCCCCCTGTCCTGTCACTACATGCCCTTGTAATTAGAGTCTCCTTGTCTTTCTTGTGGGCTCCCTTTAGGTACTAGAAAGTGCTACAAGCTCTCCCTGGAGCCCTCTCTTCTTCAGGGTGAACAATCCCAATTCTTTCAGTCTGTTCTTCTATAGAAGAGGTTCTCCAGCCCCCTGATCATGTTCACGACCTTACTCTGGACTAACTCAGGCAGGTCTATGTCCTTTATCCATTGGGGACCCCTCCAGGTGAGATTCCACAAGAGCTGAGTAGAGGGAGAGAATCATCTCCCTCAACCTGGTGACATGGCACTGGAAAGGGAAAAAAATGAAAATGTTTATCTCTGACGCAAAGTCATCTGCCCTAGGAGATCTCTGTAGCTCATGGTAGTGACTTTGCTTTCATGAGAGAAGATGAAAAGCAGCACTGTGTGATAGCCAGCATGTGTGGGTGCATCTGACCCTGAAAGGGGCTGGCTCCAGTTGCAGTCGGAGCCTCCATCTGTACAGCCCTTCTTGCACCCATTATCTGCCATCATGTCCAGGCACAAAAAACAACTGCAAAATGCAAACTGGCAGATGATATAAAAGAAGATACTTCAGCAGTCACAGTTTTGCCTTTCAATTGCCATAACAAGCGCAGGGCTTTGAAAGGGACCATTGAAGAAAGCATCAAAGAAAATACACTGCATCAGTTTCTGAATCATCCATAGAATGAAAAGACAATTGCCTGCAGACTCACAAATGTCAGCAATCAGTGCTGTGCTACTGCCAGGCAGTGTTCATGGAACAGCCAAGCAGATGCAGTGAACTTATTAGGCACATTTCTGCTTTTGCTTACGATGAAAACAAACACTGCTGTGCGAGTTGGCCCACTGATGTCCCTGACCATCAACAACGCAAGTGGTTTAAGACATGGCTGTTCGTGCAGCCTGCAAGTATAATGATATCTCTCTGTGTCCTGGGTTGGCTATATGATGCTTGTATCCCCAATCATCTGTTCTGTTTATGCTGAATAGTAAGTTTTGCATTTTTAAGACTTGTCCCAGAGAGTGAAGGGGGGAGAGAAGAAGTGCGCAGTTTGTTTTCAGACACTGTACTCACTCCTCCACATTCCTGCTTCTGGACTGTGTTGTCTGCGGATGGACAGACAGCTGGACAGAGCTCTCCTTGGCTGTTAGGTAGTATTAGCTAACCGAGGCAAAGAAGTTTCCTGGATTTTTTTTTCCTTTTCTTTGGAGCTGTTTAACACCCAGAATCACACCAGCAGCTCATACCTGTGGCCCACCGGGCCAGGCCTGGGCCACGGCATTTCCAGTGCTGGAGGGACTGACAAGAGACTGAGTCAAGCTACAGCCAACCAAGGGGACATTCCTGAGTTTGTCTCTCTTTTGGAGTGGCAAGAGGTTTAATTGTTTAATGTTGTTTAGGTTTTATTGGTTAATGAACAGTTTTTTCCACTTTTTTCCAACGAGGTTTTTTTCCCCTAACCTGTTGGGGGAAGGGCCAATTGAATCTGCTTTCTAAAGAAACCCCTTAGGGGGTTCTCTCCCAAATTTGCCCTGGACCAGGACACTCTGGCACGCAGAAGTAACATTTATAGTTTGTTTTGTAGGAACACCAAGGGCTTCTACTCTTCTGCTTTATCACCACAGCTGGAAGAGGGTGCTGCTGAAGACCTGCTGGCCTTATGTACGTGCACTCTCAGTTGCAGAGACACTGCTGTGCTGCTGTGACTTTGTGTGTATATAGACACATCTGAATTATGCCATCTTCATGCTGATTTGCTGTAATTATTGATTCTAGTAGGAAGAAGAAAAGGTGCCACATGTTTTTTTCTGTGAATTTGTAACTATCATGAAAACTATCAGCTTGCTCTGAAGTAAGTGCTGCCTGGAGAAAGTGGCAGTGGGAGGAACCAACTTCATCTCCTAATGATTTCCTACAAATATTAAGTAATGTGTCTTAACAATAGCACATAAGGAAAAAATGCATTTTCCCATATTTCCCAGAAACCTGTACTTTTGACAGAACCAAACAAACAGCACAGCTGACTCACACTAGTGCTTAGGGCACCTGTTCAATGGTTAAGGCTCCAGATCCACCAAATTGCCCAGTCCCGGGCATCTCTTGGTTAATTACTTCAAGCCCTGAAATCTCAGTCCCATTGCAGAGCGACAGGTTGTCTGAAATTGTTTGTCTGGTTTAGTAGTTTAGGGGCTACAGCAGCAGTGCAGCACTGATGGTGGGACTTGTCAGGAAAATTAATCCACAAACACCAGAGGTTTATGTCCAAAAAGGAGACAGAGGAGTCCTGTTACTTTATTTGAATAAAGGGAGAGGTCATGGGGCATTTCCCCTAGGGTCTCCCAAATTTTTGGAGGACACTGCCTCCTTTTATCATAATTTCTCATCCACATTTCCCTCTCTCTTTCCCCATTGGCTGAGATACTTGAGAGTTCCCCCAAATGCCTAAAATCCTCTTCTAATGACACCCCCCCCCTTTGTCTTTCCCTTGTGTCAATTACGAATTCCTTATGGAATTTATGGAATTAGTGGAATTCGTTATGGAATTTATGGTTCTTGCCATTGTTTCTTTCATCTCTCAGTACTCCAGTTCATTCATCAGCAGACCTACAGTGTTTGTAAAGGCAATCTCTCACTCTATTTATCAATAAGTGGAATCCTTCCCATTGTTTCTTTTATCTCTCAGTATCTAGCCTTATTTACCAGCAGATTCCTAGCTTGTTTGTAAGGGCAAGCCCCTCATTCCCTTCAGACTAGATGATCTCAAAGGTCTCTTCCAGCCTTGCCGATCCCACGATTTCATGGACACTCCCACCGGGGGAGTGTCCGTCTCCACCGCATCGAGCCCGCACCG